AACGTCTTGACAAAGTTTTTGGTAATGATCAATGGATCCAAAATTTTCCTAATGCTTCGATAACCCATCTATCAAAAACTCATTCCGATCATAATCCCTTGCTTATTAATCTCATTCCTAAACAATGCCACCACTTTTCCAAACCATTCCGGTTGGAACCCTTATGGTGTAAGCACCCAGAATTCTTAAACGTAGTCACTAACTCTTGGTGTAATAAAACATACACACAAGCATTATCCACCTTTAAGGATAATGTCACCGCTTGAAAAAATAATACTTTGGGAGACAATTTTAAAATAAAAGACGTATCCTAGCTAGGCTTAATGGTATTCAAAATTCGCCATCCTATCACTCTAGTGCTGTCCTACAATCTTTAGAATCCTCTCTAAAACTAGATTATAATAACATCCTCAAAATTGAAGAGGACTACTGGAAGCTTCGTTCAAGAATCCATTGGTTAAATGAGGGTAATGCGAATATTTTTTTCCAAATTATGTCTACTAATAGAAAAAGGAAAGACAAAATTGTTTTCTTTAAAAATGACCAAGGAAATTGAATTGATGATCCTGAAGCCATCATCAATCATACAAGTGATTACTTTAAAAAAAATCTACACAACTTCGCATACCTCCAGTGACTGGAACAGTATAAAGAATGATCCTAAATGTTTTATCAATCTAGACTCAGCCTCGTTCGATAATCCCATTACTAATTCTGAAATTACAAAAGCTTATTTTTCCTTTAAACCATACAAGGCCCCTGGCCCAGATGGTCTTCATCCTTTTTTCTTCCAGAAATATTGGAACATAATTGGTAACTCAGTTACTAGCCTTTGCTAGGAGGTATTCAATAGTGGTACTATCCCTGAAGGAATAAATCATACCTTCCAAATGCAAATAACTTAAAAAACTTTAGACCCATAGGTTTATGCAATACTATTTATAAAATTATAACTAAGATCATTAATAATCATTTGAAGCCTTTCCTAAATACTCTAATTAGCCCCTACCAAGCTAGCTTCCTTAAAAATAGGAAAGCTTGTGATAATGCTATCATTATTCAAGAGCTAATTCTTAAAATGATTAAGTATCGTGGTAAGGAGCATAATATGATTTTAAAAATAGATCTTGAAAAGGCCTTTGATCGTCTTGAAGGTCTTTTGTCTATAGAGCCTTGACCTTTTTTAAATTTCCCCCAAATATTACTAAGCTCAATATGAACTGTGTTTCAACTAGTAAAATAGCCATACTGGTTAATGGAACTAGAACTAATTATTTTTCCCCCATCACAGGTATTAGACAGGGTGACCCTATGTCCCCATATTTGCTCATACTCGCATAGGGATACTTTATAGCTCATCAATCACATGGTAGATCTAGGCTGTTGGAATCCAATTACCATAGGAAATAACAACCATCAAATATCTCACCTCTTCTTTGCGGATGACCTAAATCTAATGACCCAGATTAATAAAAAATCTATAATCGCCATTAAACATTGTCTAGACTAATTTTGTTGCTTGTCAGGGCAGTCCATTAATAGGGCAAAATAAAAAATTATCATCTCAAAAAATTGCCCCAAAACAATTGAATCCAACCTCTCAAACTATCTCAATATTAACATTAGTAACTCCTTTGGGAAATACTTAGGTTTTCCCATTACAAGCTCGAAACCGAGAGCCAAGGACTTCCAATTTGTTCTTGACAACATGCTTGCAAGATTGCTTGAAAATCTAATTGTCTTAACATGGCAGGTAGATGTTGAATCCAACCTCTCAAACTATATCAATATTAACATTAGTAACTCCTTTGGGAAATACTTAGATTTTCCCATTACAAGCTCGAAACCGAGAGCCAAGGACTTCCAATTTGTTCTTGACAACATGCTTGCAAGATTGACTACTTGAAAATCTAATTGTCTTAACATGGCAGGTAGATGCACTTTGGCTATCTCATGTCTATACTCCCTTCATAATCACATAATGCAATACACCCTTGTGCCAACTAAGATCCTTAGTAACATAGATAAGATTCAGCGAAATTTTATATGGGGTACAAATGCCACCTCTAAGAAACTACATCTTATCAAATGAGATACTATCACCAAACATGGGAAGGAAGGTGGGTTAGGGTTACACACAGCAAAGAGTAAGAACCTAGTTAACCTTGCTAGCCTCTCTTGGAGACTCCTTAATAAGACTCACTCCCCTTGGGCCAAAACGATCTTAGGTTTTCATAGTACTAGGAAAACCACAAAACATTCTTTCTTTATCTGGAATAGTATCATGCAAGGCTGGGAAGTAAGTGTTCAAACGTTAGTGTTTGGAATAGTCGTTGGATCCATCATACCACCCCCCTACGCCAGTGTATATATGATTCACTAACTCAAACGGATAATCTCCTAACCATTAAGGATATCTGGAATAATAATAAATGGGACTTATCAAAACTATCTATGATCCTTCAACCTAGCTTAACTAACAAAATTAATGCGATCACTCCTAGTACAAAAAATTGTGACCCTCCCATTTGGTCGCTAAATATAAATGGTCTTTTCACTAGTAAATCTTGCTACTCCCTAATAAGTGGTCAACCAAACGGTGATAAAGATTTTGTGTGGATTTGGGAGCTAAACTGCCCCAATAAGCTGAAATTTTTATTATGACAATGTTTCCATAATAGACTCCCAACCAGAAGTTTTTTACACCACATTTGTATAAACATTGATCCAATTTGCTCCTTTTGCAAGGTCCATAGGGAAACCAATATGGACTGTCTGGCAGTGAAGAAATTTTGGTTTCTATTAGGCATTGATACAAGTAGTTGGAACAATACGAGTAATTGGTTGACCAATATACGTGACCAAAATATTACTCTGAAAAGTGGCATTATTAGTTGGAAAGATATGTTTCCTTTTGTTATATGGACCATTTGGATCAACAGAAATAATAACTTGTTTAATAATATATATCACACACAAGGCAGCCCTCCACTTTGCTTATAACCAAGCAGTGGAATACAAACTCCTAACGGAAAAAGAACATGTTACACATCAAAAAATCCCCATATCTGTTATCTGGATTAAGCCACCTAGTGGCCAGATTAAGCTTAACATTGATGGATCCTTTAAGGAAGCCACATCGCTTTGTGGATTTGGTGGCCTGTTCAAAGATAGCAGGGGACTATAGGTAATTGGTTTTCAAGGGACTCTGCCAGGCATATCCCCACCGCAGGCGGAGTTGATGGCCCTAAAAACAGGCCTTTATATTGCGAAGGAATAAGGTTACACTAACATAGAAGTGGAATCAGACTCGACAGATGTTATTACTTGTTTGGATACTGGAATAGCAATACTAAATAATATTGTTCATGAGTGCAGGTTATTAATGATCCAGGTGAAGGTTCAGGCAATCCACCACATCTTCAAGGAAGCCAACAACCCGGCACACATGATGGCTAGGAAAGCACTTGGTGACAACAATAGCAGTGATCTTAAATTATCTATTATGCCCCTCATTTTGTAACTGGTGCTTTAAATTCAGACTATGAAGGTTCTACTTATCTAGTTAACAATGTTAGTAAAGATGTTTGCTCTATGCTAGCATCTTTTGGAAACCAAAATGTCCTTCGAGACATGTTATTTTGCTGTAATAGCCAAGTAGGTAATGTCCTATCGGGCACTCTGAATGTTATAGACTCTAGTATTATGTGATATATAAAAATAAGATCCATGTTCTTAAAAAAAAAAAAAAAAGCAAAAGAGAAGAAAACAACCGCAAGAAATCGGATTTTTCCTAGCTTTGCACTTTTTCTTGGACAAAACATCTTTATCTTTGCCTTAATTGTAGGTTTTTATTTTTATTAAGATTGTCTATTTTCCTTTTTGTCATAAGAAATTAGTTTTCATAATTTTTGTTTAGTTTCTCTTCTTTCCATCAAAGTTCAAGGTCAACATCAATCATTTTCCACTATTATCATCAATGTCATTTTGTTTGAGAAAACTACGTCTGTGGAAGGGAAAGATTTCTTTATAATTTTCTTTTTGCTTTTTCTCTCGTTTTATAGGTTCTTTATGAAATTGGCACCACATACATCTACATTGAAAAGAGAGACAGAGAGAGAGAGAGTAATGCAATGGCTAATAATTTTTTGCTAATTTTCAGCTTACTACATCTTCCTCTTTAACATGGATTGGAACAGGCAATATACATTTTACAAATCTCTCATAGGAGCTATAAATGCATATGAGAATATCTTGTCAAGACAAAAAGACTAGAACTAGATGACACTTTTGGGATATATATTTTGATGAATAAAATGAGCAACATACAATGACTATGTAGACTAGTGAATTAATTTGCTTAAGTGACAAGAGTGCTTCACTTCTAAGTTCCAATCAATTATGTTTCCCTTTTTCTTTTTTCTTTAAGACTTCTAAATATATTTTAATAAGACCATACTCTCTATTAGAGTTAATCGATCAAAGTTACAAATTATTATTCCCTCGGTTTAAATTTGTTTGAACCTTTTTGTAATATGAGGGTCGAGTTGACTAATTTTTAGTGTGAATTCTGATATAGATTCTTCAAGTTTTTTTAAAATAAAACATATTTAGAAACTACATAAAAAATATATTATACGTCAAAATAGTTAACAATTCAAATTCAAAATATTCAAAAACAATTTAATTGAATCTCTTGTTTAACTGGTCAAATAATAACAGGTTCATTCTTCGTGAAATTGATGGAGTACTAAAAAGGCAAAGAAAGAAAATTAAGAAGTTGGGGTTTAAGGTAATTTAAACTTTTCCTCATCCTCAAATTACCATTTTACCCCTTCAACTTCCATTCTTTGTCCCTCCTAACATTCTTTTCTAACCCTCCTTTCTTCACATGCACTCCCATTAATCTTTTTAGAAGTTAGAACCAAGACAAAGGATCAGTTAGATTTGAGACACTCCCCACCCCCCACCCCCCCCCCCTCCACCACCCCCACACCCCACACCCCACCCCCTCTGCTGTCCCTATCTCCCTTTGTTTTTCTGGTCCTCCAGAATTCTCTTGCTAGATATGATATGATATACTCATTTCTTTCCAAATACAAATCCAGCCATTGGAGTAAAAATAATATACACACATATACAAAACCCTCTGTTTCTTCTTCATCCATTAAATGGCTGATGCAGCTGCTGAAAAACAAATATGTGAAGAAAATGAGGATGAAGAGGTTAGCAGTAATGAAGTAGTTAGTAGAGAAGAGATTCAAGCTGCCATTGCTAAAGCTGTAGAGCTCAGAGCTATTCATGCTGCTTTATTACAGGGTATTAATAGCCCTGCATCTAATCTCATAAAGTTTCCTTCTTCTTCTTCTCCTGCTTCTGATTTTCCTCATCAATTCTCTGCCCAAGATTATCCCATTTTCACTCCAGTAAGTTCTCTGCTTTTTCTTCTTCTTTACTATTGCCTTCTAATTAACTTCATGGGATTTCTCTTTCATAGATTTGCAGTACACCCATTTTGTTTTTAATTCATTTCTTTGCTCCAAATGGAGTATAGCCTGCTTCTAATTTGCTCTCTTAGGGGTCGTTTGGTATTGATGTATAAACAAAAATAATCCTGGAATAAAAATTTGGTTACTAATTCTGGAATAAGTTATCTCACAATTAAAAATAGTGCCGGAATAACTTATACCTTTCAAATGGTGGAATAATAATCTCAGGATAAAGTAGTAAAATTGATAATCTCAAGATTAATACAACATATCAAACAATCAATAAAAAATAATAACAGGATAACGAATCCCAACAAACTAATTTCAGTATAATTAATCACAACATAACTAATCCCAGTATAATTTGCCTTCATGCCAAACGACCCCTTAGTCTTACTTTCTGTTATATTTTGAGGTCACTTATACCTTTGATGCTTGCTGGACTGCTTCAGTGTTTTGCGGGTAAATTTTAAAAATAGCCAGATTTATAACTGGTCGTTCAAAAATAGCCCAATTTCAAAAGTAATCGAAATTTAGCCACTTTTTATATAAAGATAAATTTGAGCGAAAACACTGTTCAAAACCCGGAAAATACTCCAGTATATTATGCTGGAGTTCCAGCATAAGTATACTTGAACTCCAGCATATTATACTGGAGTTCCAGAATAAGTATGCTAGTTCCAGCATAAGTACACTAGAACTCCAGCATAATATACTGGAGTTCCAGCAAGTATATTGGTCCAGTAGAATATACTGGAGTTAGGAGCACCAGTGCTCCAGTCTCCAGTATAATATTCTGGAGCCAGCAAAGTATACCGGTCCAGCATAATATGCTGGAGTTCATACACAAGTGCAGAACTCCAGTATATTATGCTGGACCGATCTCTATTGCAGTAAAATAGTGGCGATTTTTCATTGACTTGGTAAACGCTGGCTATTTTTGATTGACCAGTCCGAAAATTGGCTATACAGTCCTATTTTTACGTGTTTTGCTTCAACGCAGCTGATCTTCAGGTCCAATTTTTTCAATTTGGTTTCGCAGCCCATCTGTTGTTGGGTTTACAACTGTTGACAAATTGTCTTTTATTTGCCCTTAATATTAATAGAGCTCAGCGTGAATTGGTGGATTCCACGTGTCAAAATATTTCAAGAAAAAGGTCCAAATCTACCCATCTTCTTTTCTTATGGTTTAGAGTTACCTACGTTATCCTTCATGTTGAAGCTCACAACAATCAAGGATAAATACGAGCCGATTTGCCAACATCAAGGATATAAACAACCCTGAAAGGTAGCCTTTGAGCGACGGTAAAGTTGTCCCCGTGTGACCTATAGGTCACGGGTTCAAGTCGTAGAAGCAACCACTAATAATTGCATTAGGTAGGCTGTCGATATCACACCCCTCGTGGTGCTGCCCTTCTTCGGACCCTGCAGGAATGCGGGATACTTTGTGTATTAGGCTACCATTTTAAGGCTATAAACAATCCCAAAATATAACAACGGATAAAATTAAGATATAACATGTAGTCAATCAATCAAATCCAATGAGATCCCACTTGCGGTCTGGGAAGGGTAGAGTGTACACAGACCTTATCCCCTACCCTGGGAAGGTAGAGAGGCAGGCTGTTTTGGAAAGACCCTCGGCTGGGGAGAAAGATATATCATGTAGTAAAAGGGTATAATTGTAATATGAAAGTAACATATATTTAGTGACTGCTCTGATATATACTTTTTTTAAATCAACTTTTGATAGAAAGCCATCAACAAGCTTTCTTGAACCATGGTTCTTGCATTTGGTTTGGGGGAGGGGGTTGGTCCATGTAATTATATAATCTGATGATCTGTTTAGAAGTCTGTGTTTGACCAAATCTTGAATAAGAATTTTCTTCCTTAACTTCAAGCATACTCTTCAGATACTGCTTCCATGGTTTAATATTGAATTAGCTTAGTGTTGATACTAAAATCCAAAAATTAAAGGAAAGGGAACTACCAGTGTAACTGGGAATAAAATGAAATGTAAAGGCAATTATAACTAGAAAGGCAGTAGACAATTATCCTATGAAAGTAGTAAAGATCTTATTCAGATAGGGGTTCCCAAGCTTTAGTGAGTACAATGCCAATGCCATTGTAGAATGTGAAGAACATGGATGATGAAATTAAGCTTTTAGAGTGTGTTATTGGAGTGAGAGGAATTGCCGCGTTTTGCTTGATTTTCTTATGGCCTTTTTAGAAGGATGTAGGGTTCTTTTAATAGTCGTTTGCTGTGCCCAACCAACCAGCTAAAAGTAAAAGTACCTATCTATATAGTGTAATTTTCCGACGTTACTTAAACAAAGGTGGTCTACCACGGGTCGTTATGGTTGACCTGGTGCTGGCTGGTACGTTGAGTCGAGTCGTGCCTGCTCATTTGGCTGGGCGTGCTCAGCATGCTCGGCGTCGCCTGTTGCACCACGCCCAAGATAAATTTGGCATCAAGTCCTTATTTGGATCAAAATTGGCCTTGGATTGCTGTATGCCCAAGATAAATTATCAAAATTGGCCTTAAATCATCTAATCCCATAGTTCAGTTCCTTTAGAAATGGTCAAGTATTTCAATCTGCTTTCGCCAATTGAGACTAGTTTGATTCACCAAGTTTGAATGTTTGCAGAGTTATGAAGATGTTCCATTATCTGAACCAAAACAGCTACAGTTGGACAATCGAGCCTACGCTGAACCTTGGGATGATTATGGCCTTGGAGGGGTGGGAAATGGCGATGAAGCCAGTTTGTCGAATTACAGAAAGGCGAATTCCTCTTTGAGGAATGGAATTTCACCCAACTCGATCAATTCAGAACTCCATACCTGTCCACCTGATGATCAGAGATCGGTCACCGGCTCATGTACTGATCAAATCACTGTGCTTAGAATAGCCTCTCCTGGTGGTGATTACTCTAAGTCCAGGAGAAATTCTTTAGGAGTGAGATCACTTTCCTCTTGCAATAGGTGTAAACCTGCTACTATAACAAGTACTGAGACAGATGGAGCTAGCAAGAGTGGGAAGAGCTCGAACGTAATCGTGCCATTGACAGATTCACACTCTTTAAATCAATTGCAGCCAAAGAGCAAAGGGCTGAACTTGTCATGGTTGTTCCCTAAGCTAAAGAAGAAAAACAAGAATGAAAATTCACCACACAGGACAAAATCCGACGTCTCTCAGATTGTTAAGGATATTGGATTGGTTTCTATTGAAATTTTGAAGAAAGAGCTCGTGCAAGCAAACGACAGCAGAGATGCAGCATTGATGGAAGTCGCGGAAATGAGGTCTTCTTTAGGAGAGCTAAAGGAAAAATTGGAGTACTTAGAAACTTACTGTGAGGAGCTCAAGAAAGCCTTGAGACAAGCAAAACAATCAAAGGATTCTCAAGTATCCAAAATGCTTATAGATCTTCCGAGAAGAGGAAAATCTATGGATGGGGACGGAGAAAACACGATTCCTGTTAGTGAAGAGGTAATGGTTGAAGGATTTTTGCAGATGGTATCAGAATCAAGACTATCAGTAAAGCAATTCTGCAAGATTCTTATTACACAGGTTGAAGAGACAGACAATTCTTTAACCGATAACTTAAACCATTTACTTCAACCTTACAAGATTTCTCTAAACTCAAAGCACTCAAAGGCAGTCCTATACCATATTGAAGCCATCATAAACCAGTCCCTATTCCAAGATTTTGAGAACGTTGTGTTCCAAAAGAATGGCGCGCCAAAACACTTGGACCCTCAACAAGATTGCCACGATCACTTCTCGTCCTTTGTCTCGTTGAGGAACCTAAGCTGGAATGAAGTGTTAAGAAAGGGGACCAAATACTACAGTGATGATTTCAGCAAATTCTGTGATAAAAAAATGAGTTGCATTATCACAAGTCTCAACTGGAATAGGCCATGGCCAGAGCAACTACTTCAGGCATTCTTTGTTGCTGCTAAATGCATTTGGTTGCTGCATTTGCTCGCGTTTTCGTTCGATCCTCCACTTGGGATTCTGAGGGTTGAAGAGAATACAAGTTTTGATAAGTGTTATATGGAGGACATTTTTGGAGATAGGCAAAAGTCACAAGGTTCAAACAAGGTTAAGATCATGGTAATGCCTGGTTTCTATGTGCAAGATAGAGTACTTAGGTGTAAAGTGATTTGCAAGTATAAATCTACAGCCTAATTAGGATCTCTTTCTGAATTCTTTTTTCTTTGAAATGTTTCTCTTTAGCAGATAATCTAACTTGTAATATTGATCCTATGCTAATCATTTGCTTATATGCATTCTCTAATATTTATCATTAAATTGTGATTAAGTTATAATATTATAATACTTCTGTTGAATAAATTAAACAATTGCTTATAATTAAACTATATGTCTATATCTATATTTTATCTTATTTTATTTTTCTTAGTTTTCTAATGAAAAATATTGAACCACAAAAGCGGTGCAAAATTCTAGCTTAAATACACAACTTGGAGAACAACTATGCTTCAATCCCAAGTTAGTTGGTGTCGGCTAACAAATTGATTAGTTTTACGCCAAACATCAAATTATCATAACCCTCCTTTTATCCAAGATTAATATCGGTAATGTGATAAGTTGAGGCAAAGTTCACAAATCAGTAAATTGTGGTAAATGGGCCAGAAAAAAGTTTTGATGATATACTTTTGTGCCATTATTGTTTTTTTTTTTTTTTTTACCTCCAATAACAGATGTTTTGAGAAAAAAGTCCATGTCAAAATTTTAAAATACCCTAGGCATAATTCAACAATTATGATAACGTATTTTACCACAAATCCTAACGGATCAGAATTTTTTTTTTTAGCATTTTAGAATTTTTAGTGCTTCAAAATTTCGGTGCTGAAAATATGGTGATTGTCAGAATTTCTGACGAGCGTGCTTAAGATTCTGATGTGTAACTATTTTTTTCAGAACAAATTCTTAATGGGAATAAAAATAGGAAATCTTACGGAAGTGTTCCAAATAAGTCCTAACTTACTAACATCTAGCCGTTAATCATAGACTTACCAAAACTAGCCAAGCACATACAAAAATTAAAAATTCAAATAAATTAGGATTTTTTCTCTCCAAGAATCACACACAACGATCTCCTTCCATATTTTTAAATGTGACTAGCAACATTAGATGCAAGACGGAAAGAAAATTTCATGGATAAGGTAGCAAACAAGGTGATGATACACACACACACACACTTTTTTCAGTGAGTATGGTTGAAATTGTTGAAAACACATAGATGAATCAAAATACAGAATTTGAGGAAGACTGGAGTTGATTTGGTATCAAAATTTGTAGTTAAAATCGAGTTCAAAAAATTCTTCTTTGACACATGTATCACGCATGTATTTCACACACATGTATCAACTTATACAACATAAACCTAAAGATGACAAAATTAAAGACCATTAATGAGAATTGTGAAATACGCTTTACTTCGATCTTCACCTCATTATTTGGCACTTCCTCTTAAACATTCTTCTTAAGATTCACACCTGTATGGAATATCTTTGTGCATTCACCTTACACAAAAAACAAAGAATAGAAATCATACCATACCTTAGTATAAATTTTTTTCCCACTACAGCCTTTAACATAGAGATAGCTCAAACCATTATAAGCAAAATATAAAGTTAGTATCAATCATATTTGTTCAAAACATAGAAGTCCTTATATAGGTACATATAAGAAATTGTCATAAACTTACATATTAAATATTAGAGGTTATGAATATAAAAGGCATGGGAGTTATTGAGATTATTTATGAAGATAAAGAGGTGTGAGCTATGAAGATAGAATTTTTTATTTTAAAACAAATGGAAAAAATGATGAAAAACCCAAAAAAAGGAGAAAAAATATAAATGTGTTGGCTTAAGAGAGGTGCCACCTCACTTTTCTATTGTCCATATATACATACATATATACATACATACATATATATATATGCGGCTATTTAAGTTAATTCTTCTTAAAAATGCAAATAGTTTGAGATGGACCAAGTTACAAAATTTCTGAATGCTTTTTCTGAGTAACATTTTGTAGAGCACCCATTAATTAAGAAAATGTGTAAATGTTCCTGTTCGACCAAAAAGTTGTAGGCCTTTTTGCTAAACTAATTGAATAAGAAGATATGGGGTAAATCCTAGCCAGAGATAATTTATTCTAAATTTGAGTTAGGAGATAGAAATAGACAAGCATAGCTGAACATGTAAATGGATTATAGTTGCGATTAAATTCCGTAATGCAAGAAAAGAATGGTTTTTCCAATAATATTAAATTACCACAAAGAGTACATAAAGGAAAGAATCACAATTCTTGAACAAGATAGACCTCCATACATTTGGTAAAGTTGATTTACAGATGAATACCCAGATTCTAAACTCTTTGCTTCTCTTTGGGCGGAGAACCTTCGGGGAGAGAACCTCTCCTCCTTCAGAGAGATGTCTCTCTTTTTGTGTGTTCCCATCAGCCACCCATCTACTACTCTCTCCCATGATGTTTATACAAAATACTTTCCTTACCCAACGGTCCTTAACCAGAGTACCTAAGTTCTTGAATATTCCGTAGAATATTCCTCTAAAATATGTAAGTGTTGAGCTAGCCGGTCGGGCCGAATTAAGTGCTCGACCTCGACCGTAGCTAAATCACTCGCCGGTATATTGCTTCCTATACGTGACTTCGGCTTGGTTGACCCTTGGTCGTTCTTCCTTAAGTATAATTCTTTTGATCAGACTTTTACCTATACAATTAGTCCATCCGCCCGTCGGGGGTTGCCTTTGGGGGAGCTCGGTGGGCGGACTTCGCTAGTTGCACCTTTTGAGAAATTTGAGCACGTTGGCCGAAGAGTGATCCTTCATGATAGGTTTTCAATGTCTTTACCTTATGTTTTGATGATCTAACAAACTTACTGTTAAGAACCAGATAGGAAACCTGACACACTTGGTACACATTACAAATGAACGAAGTGCAGCCTGAACTCCAGCCAATGTGAACTGTTGCAAATAAAGAGAAAAGAGGAACAAGATAGGGACCTGATCCCTGGGTGTTCTCTGACAGAAGTACAAGTCAACTATACAGCTGGAAAGCAACTGCAAAAAGCAACTGCAAAAAGCAACTGCCTGCAAATGTACACGCGACAGTGTAGTAGACAGTGCAGTAGTCACTTCCCATTGGGAAGAGGCGTATACCTACCAAGAATTGACATCATCTTTGGGATGTCTTTGGTAGTATAATAACATGGTGCAAGGCACAAGATACTCACTCGAGCATTTAGTGATATTCCCTCTAGCACAAAATATCTGATCCAGCATTGAAGTCACAAGTGTGTCAAGAACAAGAAGACAACTCCACTAAGGATCTGTTCCACAATGAGTCTATGTGTGTCCGTAGTTGAGTTGTAATCTTGTTGTTTGTTCTTCATTGTAACTCCTATCCTGCTTTTTTAGAAGTTTTGTTTTAGGAAACTCAAAATCATAAACCTTCTGAGTTTGTGTTGTGACTAGAGTTGGTCATAAGTTAAAAGTCTTTGTAACTAGTGAGTGACAAAGTGGCTTGTGGTAAGTGTATCACAAGTTAGTTGAGTTGAAGTATTTGTAACTAGTGAGTGACAAAGTGTCTTGTGGTAAGTGTATCACAAGTTAGTTGAGTTGAAATCTTTGTAATAGAGTCATTAGAAAGTGGCTTGTAATAGTATGTTTACAAGTTAGTGAAGTTGAAAGCCTACAGGAGTAGGTCGTAATTTTTGTCCCCTTGCGTTGAGATTTTTCCACGTAAAAATCCCATGTCTCATTTATTTACTACTTCATTAGTATTCTCAGTGGAAACTCATAGAGGAACAAGTACTCTATAGTTTGGTGGACTCATATAAACTCACAATTGGTATCAGAGCAGGTTCTTTCTAAAAGGTTAACACCTAGAAAGGATCTCAATGGCTGCTCCACCTAACTTTGAGGAAGGACAATCAACCTACAGACCTCCTAGATTCAATGGTCAGTACTACGGCTGGTGGAAGACTCGTATGCATGATTTTATAATGGCAGAAGACTCAGAACTGTGGGATGTCATTTGTGATGGTCCACAAGCTCCTATGAAGAAGGTTGAGAAACTGGACCAATGGCGCCGAAAAACAGAAAAGAGTACAGTGATATTGACAGAAAAGCCGTAGAAAAGAACTATCGTGCCAAGAAAATCTTGGTATATGACCTGATGAGTACAACAGAATCTCAGCTTGTGATTCTGCCAAAGAAATATGGGAAGCATTGCAAACCGCACACGAAGGAACTACTCAGGTTAAACAGTCCAAGATTGACATGCTCACCACTGAGTATGAGCTCTTCAGGATGAAGGACGATGAGTCTATACAAGATATGCACACAAGATTCACATCCATCATAAATGAGCTTCATTCACTAGGAGATGTTATTACCAGAAACAAGCTTGTAAGGAAGATTCTCAGTGTTCTACCTGGCTCTTGGGAGAGTAGGGTGGATGCCATCACTGAAGCTAAAGATTTACAAACTCTAACCATGGATGAGCTGATTGGAAATCTGAAGACACACGAGATGAAAAGAATGAAAGACAGTGAAAGGAGAGAGCCAAAGAAGGAAAAGAACCTGGTGCTCAAGGCTGAAAACAGGGACTCAAGTGAAGAAGATAGTGATATGGCCTATCTTACTAAAAGTTTTCAAAAGATGGTTCGAAGAAATGGTGGTATACCAAAAAGGGGTAGTTTAAGTAAGGCAAGGAACAATGATCTCTGTCACAAGTGCGGAAAGCCAGGACATTTCATCAAAGACTGCCCACTTCTGAAATAGGAGAAATACAAATAAAACTCTGACAAAGCAGAAAAAAAAACCTGGTTCCTGACAAACGATTCAGTCGAAAAAGTGCAGCTGACAATGTTGTGAAGCAAGCTCTTGCTTCTTGGGGAGACTCCTCCAGTGAATCGGAAGGGGAACCAGATGCAGAAAACAGCTCCATGATGGTAGTGGAAACTGAAGCAACGAAATATGACTCAGTGTTTGCGCTGATGGCTCAGTCTAACGATGATGAAAATGATGAGGTAAATTTCAGGGATGTTCAGAGAAATCTGAAGTCTTACTCTTCTAAGAAATTAAGGTCATTAGCAAATGTTCTAATTGATGCATATTATAGCCTTATTAATGATAAGGAGATCTTGACCATAGAGCTAGGAGATGCTGAACAATCTAGAGATGATCTGGTGGTTTGTGTAGTTGATCTAAATGAGACCATAGCTAATCTTGAAAAA